GCGCAGCATGCGTTGATAACAATGGCAAACAGATGGACCCCAAACGTGACATCATTGTTCCGGTAAGACGTCACGTGACGCACATCGTGTTTAAATTTAACCGCGATCGTCGTCTTGCGACAGGCTATCACGCTGTGACGTCACAAATGGGGTACTAGCTATTAATATAAGGGACTGCACTATCAATTGATGTCACTATTATATTAGACAATGACCAACGCAAAATAACAAAAGACTTAATTAGTACGAATTTAAAAATAAAAAATTATAATAATAAATCGAACTATTATTAGCAAGAAGTAAGATTATTTAAAGGAATAATCTTAGTTCTTACTAATATTACAAATGCAAAAATTTAGATGGATGTTTGTTAGTGTTTGTAGCCTAAACGGCTGAACGGATCGTAATGAAATTTGGCATAGACATAGAGTCTGGAAGAACACATAGGATACCTTAATTTTTTTAAATTCAACACGGACGGAGTCAGACGGAAAGCTTTTTTATAATGTAAATGTAGAATTTTCATTTAATATGCAATAGTTCAGTGTTATTTATCGTAGTTTAATTTCACAATCAGATGTCGTAGGTCGTAAACAAAGCGAGGCGATCCTGTGAGCGCGGCGCGGCTTGTTCCCAGACATGCCTGGCATTAATTGTCTCTACCCGGATGTCACTCTGCAGGTGTAGGGATAAAAGTTGCAGAGATTTATCACATCTGTATTTTTAACTTCGTTAAAATATAAACTGGTTAATATTAAAGAAGTTATTATAAAATCTGATATCAAGACTGTAGGTTTTTAAGTTATACTAATTATTTTGGAACCTAATGTCTTTTACAATACAGAACTAAACATAGTATTGTAATTAAGTTCAAGGCCCGTGTATCGCTATTACAAATATTTACATTATTACGTTGTTATTATAAAGATAATATCGTATTCTGCTAATATCTCAAGGAAACGAATCTACGTTACGTCGCTATTAAAGAGGCATTATTCATCCTACTTGCAAACCATACAATTTTAGACTTTATTGGCAAACCATAAAGTTTCCATTCAAACTATAAACGTAAGACAGATGAGCAAATTTCTTTTGTAATTAATGTATTTTATGGCTTAGTACATACGGTTTAATTTGCAATGCAGTTGCGGTTACAATGTGTAATACGGGGCAGAGTACAGGGTGTTCCCACGGAGGCGACACACATGGTGTTCGCTGCATTGTTGACTACTGAGAAACTGTCTCGCAAGCTGATTGTACACTATTGTTTTTTTACAGCGCAGTAAAAGCTGTTGAGAATGTCTTGCAGATGAAAGGTTATTTACCGTTCTAAAACAAAAATAAAAATGTTTAAATGTAATCATATGACGAATAAATGTAAATGAATGAAGACTATAAAAGTGCTTTCTAAATTTCAGCAGCTTGCAGATCTATTTCATTGAATATTTAATTCAAGCAGTCTTAAATAAAGACAAGGTGCCTTGCTTTGCAGGTTCGAGGTTTTTGGCTTATGTTAAAATGCAATTTAAATGGAAAATCTGAATTTAAAATTTTGAATCTCTCATAAACATGTCCGACTTTCACGGGAGTTAAAAATAAAATATTCCTGGTTAAATATGAATATAATCAGTAGGTTTGCACAACGACGGTGGGTGGATGGAGTGTGAGTTTCACTACAAGTAGAAAGGCTTTCAGATCAATAATGGCAGGAAGTGACGTCACATTTCCGGCTGCGTGTGCGGTCTGTAGTGTATCATACTGTATGTTTTCATACCATATTTAGATACAAACACGCGAATACTATAAAAAAGCATTATTTGGAAAAACTTGGATATTTACCACTTTGCAAATAACCATGTTTTGCCTAAAATACGACAAACTTACCGTATACGATATGTAGTCATCAACCTGCCCTTGCCCCTAGAGAACGCTTCCTATATTGCACTGTATGTGCAGCTATTCCATACAATTCTATCAGTCGTTATATCTGAATTCACCCCCTTACCTTACCATCTGTAGTAATCAAAAGAAATTATAAGTATTACCATTTTAAACGTTGCAATATGAAAATAAATCGCAGTACTAGTTTAGTTCACATATTCCTTAGGGTTGTTGCCTTCCATTATCCGCAAACAAACAATGAAACAACGATTCTTTCTCTCTTTAACTTTCATCTAATTAAAAAGTAATTACATTTCATTAACAGTGAGGAAGAGTTTATAAGAAAGTGCACGTCAGTTTGTGGGCGGGGCTGGTATTGTTTCAGCGAACACCATCTGGCGGTAGTGATTATCGTTAGATTGATCAACAATTAACTAGATTAAATAATAATTTTATGTAATTAACTCTCGTAGCGATTTTCTTCTTAAATTAGGCGACGGCCTTTTTAGCTATTTGAGGATTAAATTATTTAAACTTTCGTGAGACATAAACTAATTATTAAAAGGCTATTAGTGCGTGGCGCAACGCCATACTATAATAACGCTATCCCTGAAGATGGACCGCAGATAGGTCTGAAACTAATCCTGCCGCCATCGGGAAAATTGACGTGAGTATAGCCGTTAACTAATTATAATTTGACGTTTATAAATAATAATACTTAACAATACAAATACTTAAATTCACAAAATTAATTAGACAATAGAGATAATGACTCTCGCATAGACAGACATTGACCTATAGAAAAAAAACAACTAAAACAATAGACCTAGAGAAATCACAGACACAATGAATAGAAAGAGCCGGTGATTTGGTGGCAAATTTTGACAGATTTAAATAGAGGCTTTCATTGGTCATGAGCAAACAATATCAAATAACCTCCCAAATAGCACGGTTCCCATCTTTGTGGTCGCTCGCGAACAATCGAGACGGCACCGATTATCTCAGTCGGCCATCTTGGATCAGTGTCAGCACTAATTAATAAACTTTAAAAGGCCCCTGAAAGAAGCGCAAACAATGCTAGAAGCATTGTCATTTATACAATTAAGTTCCCATAAAGTCAAGGAATCTGTTTCTTTTTAATAAAGGATTACAATTAAGCTAATTTTGGAATGTCGACTCAAAGTTCTATTAGAGTCAAGATAGACGGATCGTTTAATTCTTTACTGTAGATCTGTCCAAAAAAAAGATCTTACTCCACCTTAACGGTGCAAATCTTTCAGTTTACTTTGCAAATATTCACACGTTTTAAAGTTGGTTTCCGTATGTTTGTGTATGCTACCGGGTGACAGGAAGCAAGTGATGTAGGGGAGCGTTATCTGTCTCTATTGACACATCGGCGTTATCAATACGCGGGAAATTCGGTGATTTGAGTGCTGAAAGGTTGGATTATCTGCCGTGACCTCGGGACTATGTTGCGGGCTTGTGATACAACTGAATGTAAATGGATTTAAAAATTAAAAACGTGCTGTTAAGTTAAAAAACGTTCTATCTTTAGTGTTTTCACGTGCCATCCATTTTTGTATCTCTTTTACATTTACACGATTTGTTATTTACGATAAGGTTTACATGTGGTCTACAAAATTATCTTGTAGACTAACCGACACACATCTATCCCGCATTAAATCGTAATGAAGCATAAATGTCCCGTTGTGTGGAAAGCAATTATGTGTCATATGCGTTTTCACTTTTCCCCTCCATCAGTAATAATGAGTCATTTCCATTTTTCTCTAAGCCTCATCGTGGGAACTCTTTGATAGATAATTAACATGAATGAGAAAGATGAAACATAGATAATTCAAAATCTACGATGGAAATCAAAGGTTTTTGTAAAATCAGTAAAATAGAAAGAATTGACTTTGAACAGTTAGTCTACTGAGACTTAAATTATTGCTAAGTTTTTTTTTTAATAATATAAGGTGGCAAACGAGCAAGCGGCCACCTGAATCCGCCGAAATGGAAAGCGACCGATGCCCATAAACATCCGCAATTGCAGATGCTTTGCCTAGCCTTAATTGACGGAACAGGAGACGCACATAAAGAGGACATTTCCCTTTCCAATGCTTCTCCTCCACTGTCATATCCACTTTTCCTTCCGATCTTTTCTTCTTAAGAAAAGGGTGGAAAGGGATTCTTTATTGCTAAGTTTACTAGCTACTAGCTCATACCTAATATGTATTTTATAATTGTCATGACAGATTAGGATTTATGTTTACTTTCACCCCATATCAACGACCGAAGTGAAACATTGAACATTGTAACGCGGCGTTTAGCCTTATCGGCACATCTGCGGGACAATTTGCGGACCACACGACAACCATCGCGGATAATTATAGAATACAATTGTGCTATTACACTCAAAGATGACGATAGCGGCTGATTATACTGTCGGGGACAAATTAGTTTTATTTTCTACTAGCTTTCCCCCGCGATTCCCTGCGAGAGGAAAAAAAACCAAAGCAAGCGCATGTGTTCTTCCAGAATGTACTCTACATCTATGTCAAATTTCATCGATATCCTTTCAACAATTTAGGTTACATACTCTAGCAAACTTTTATCTATCCATCCATCTATCTCAATTCTCGCATTTATAATATGGAAAGAAGATTAACTACTGTAAAATGTAACTCTTTGTACGAATTATAATTTCGGGTTAACTGTACTGTATCCCACTTCATAAGATCTGTCAGAGTTATAATCCTAAAAGATACATTACGACAGTAAAATGTCGCAAAACATTACGATTTCATGATGAATATTTCAACAATATTTCGTTGCTCTTTAACAATACATAATAAAATGATACAATAAAGCATTGGTACAATTGACCCGCACACCTATTGTATTGCATCACAATAATACTCTAGTCGACAATCTTGGTTTCTAATTTCTACAACTGCGCAAGTGCTTTTTCAAATTGTAATTTTACACTTCACTTTAAATTCACCAACCTTATATTTAAATCACAAGAAATCATTACCTTAGGGTAAATTAACTCTCTGTATCATTGGAAACCAGGGAATAACAGAAGTTATGAGTCAAGGATTTTATTGTCTACTGACCGTGCGATGTGTGAGGTCGCCAACGGAGTCGTGACGCTGCTCCAGGCTGCCAAGGCTGCAGCAGGAGGCGGTGGAGGCCAGACTGACGGAGTCAGCGCGGGCGCGGTGAGGAGACACCGCTACGTGCTTCAGCATCACTACCTGCACAACACACACATTGTTAAGACATAACAAAAAACAAAAGACAATCGATATAAGGGGTTTCTTAGATTTTTTCTTCGTACTATTTGAAGTGCATTTGCATAACCGTTGCCTGCTTTTAATCAACAGAAAAGGAGACGCAGAGAAAATGATATTTGCCCAACCCTAGATGAACTCACTTCCTTCTTCCATCATTTTCTTGCACGAAAAGGTTGGAAACGGGACATGAACTAAAATTAGTCCTTTTTTTACAGATTCAAGTTAGTAAAAGCGTTTAATTTTATGTGAAATATCGACAATTTGCGAGCGCAATTTTAAATGAATTTACTCACAAGTTCTACATAACTTACTACTTATGTCAGTAAATGAAAGTTGGTGAGCTTCAAGGAACGCCCAAAGTGGTAAGGACATGTCAGCGAACAAGTTCCTACACTAATTGCATCGTTACATAAAACCACAGACGAAAGCAACATCTACATACAAAAAATGTAGACAAACTACAAGCTGTAAGACCACAATAAGTTCTGCAAGAAAAAAGACTTGGGTCTCTAATTTTACGAAGAAAATCGAACAACATGTTTCTACTTAGATATAATTACATGCGTTAACATAAAAGATAATTCTACGTTAATTGCCAACCCTACAACTAAGGCAAAACCACATAAAAAGTATTCTGTTAGCAAACGCGGCGAGCGCACGTGCTCTTCCATTAGGCATAAAATCTGTTTGTTCAGGCCCTACGCTTCTCAGAACACGGTACCTGCTGTACTTTATTGTCGCTAGACCGGCCTCTGGTCACGGACTTAATGGACCTCAATTGTGTCTCTGAGGCTGTTCATTCTGTTTCAAAACAACAGTGAAAGAAGTAAATGTAATAGTTCCGATTTTATATTTATGTAAATCATATCAGGATGTATGGCCTCTTCACGGTCGTGGTCAAGCAAAAGTTATTACTTAATGTTATGATACTATTATACGAAAACTACAAAGTATAAAAAGGCATATAAGTATCAAGAATATAAAACATGCTACACTATGTTTACTTTAACAGTAATCAAAATAAACAAATGACATCGCACGTAATCATGAGTTAACAATATCATTGTTACAACAAATTACATTTGTAATGTATCATCAATCAATGCCTCGTGTCGTGACCACAACTAATTGTATACAATCGACCTCCTTTTGTATACAGTTACGATACAAATACTGCTATATCTGGATTCAATAGTTCTTTAACCATTAAATCGTCACCCAAAAACTTCATAGACATTTACAATAAATACTGGTAAGTCAAATTCGCTTTACAAGATACGAACATCTACTTTGTTTCTACATTGATAGCAGCACCTAGGTGCATAGCTTCACTCGGACCGGATCAATAAAGTCCTTCCGCTGTTACACCGTACGCGAGGTCGCCTGCTTAATATTCATCCGATTATCGCGTTAATTAATGCAAATGAAAATCAAATATTACAGATACTATACTGTTTGATATGCAGCCGATGTTAATGCAAAAATTATCCATTATGTGGGAATGTTGGACTGTTAGCATAGGGACCAGGCTTTTGCATTAACTTTCACGGCGAGTGACCAAACTTGATCCTTCGTGTCAATGGAGATACATTCTTTTAAAAGGTATAAATAAGAAACTAATCCGGTACTAATCCGCCAATCATCAAAACAGGTTAATAAAACTGTACGTATTTTTGTAAGGTAAGAAAGGATAGATAAAAACAGCTTTTTGTTCTTTGATTTATTTACTTTCATCTAAAAGCAGTTTATAACATGCAGGCTACTTACTAAGTTTGTTTTTAATTGTGCGCGGACGAAGTCATGGGCGAAATCTAGTATTTACTATATCGTGTTTCTATGATATTTACGTCACATTCTCAGATCACATAACCTAGTTTCGCAAAATATATGGCTATTTGCATCAACTGCGGATATCGTCGCCGCTGACCTTCCTCTGCAGTGGAAAATATCCTTCATCATGTCATTTCATCATGAAGATTTCCTCCGTAACTTGCTTACTATTGCGAATATCATATCAGATGAAAATATTCTCACGCTAAACATTCGAATAACTTAACTAAAGTGCAACACAACAATAAAATCCAAATAATCTTTTTTATCTGCTTCTAATGTATACTTAAAATGACTTAAAGTTAACCAAAAAGATGACAATTGATTGAAACTTTAGCAACAACGGAAGCGACGTCAGCATTCCCTTCAACCACATGTTCCTAAAACAAACAAAACCTTAATCTAACCGAGTTAATCGACAAACATTGGAGCGAACGTAAACAATGAAAATATGTAAACTGGCGAACATTTGATCAAATAAGCCAACACAAATGGTCTCATAGTGCCACAGCTGGACAACTTACGCAATAACCCGGAAGACTAAAGGTTTATGTTGTTAAAATAAATTGACTTTTAAAATTCCCTGGCGACAGCGGTGGAGTAACGTGGGCAGAAATGGTTCTATAAACATTTTGAAGAAAATTACTGGGCTTATATTCGAATTTTATAGTTTCGATTTATTATGCCTACATTATGCCTTCGCTAGTCGGAGAGGCACCTTAAGAAGAAGAACAATACCTACATAATACTGTTTTGTGATGCGAAGAAAAACATATCAAGTTCATCTAGAGTTTAATGTTTGCTGATAGCAAATTAATTATTATCGACTCATTAATGTGACTTTGGTGCAATAATCAAGAGGTCACTATTGCGATAAATCGTCTTCATTAAATTATTTATTTGTATAAGAAATATAATTTTAATGAAAATGGTATTATGGTAAATGGTATTATATGGTTACTCTACTAACATAAAGAGTGACCACACATACTTGTGTTCGGGTAACATATCTCGTTAATATGATTGCAATTTTCCGCCACAGAGTAATTTATGTGAGCGTAGAGTTAACTACCGGTCATAGAGTCGTGTCGGCCAGTACCGACACAACAAATTGCTCTAATACTCTGCCCTATTTGTGATGTTTGATTGTTCTTATCCTCTAAACTACATTCCTTTAGATCAGTACTCTCCTTCTTTGTCCTGCAATGTTAGTCATGAAACTATAACACGACATTGTCAAAGAATACTTATCTTAATGAAATGCCCTCAAAGCAGCTAAGTTGTTTTGTTGTTGAACATCGGTGCGGTAAAAACAGTTTTAAAATATTTGTAATTACTTTTTTATGTCGCCTAACATTTACGCAACGTTTTTGATAACTCGTATGAACATGAATGTAAATGCAGCCCTAAGCAATTGGACGTATTTACAAATAGAGAACAAAGGGATGCACACACATTAGCGGAATCGATATCGAGCCAGACGAGCGGGCAAACAAAACGCGCAGCCGATCGGAAGTGAGCGTCAGTGTGGACGATCCTGTACGCTGTTGATCCGACACATTCCGACGCTAACGGCTTCTAATGTGACTGTTATGCATCAATAACTATCATTAAAATACTAACCGATTATGACTAAGTCTAAAGGTAAAGCGTCTTGTCAGTGATGACAACGATGTTGAGAAGAATCTATTTTCTAAGCATGAAATAGGATCATTTGCAGTGAATTCTTAGTTGTGAACGAATTTTCGGATCGTTCTCTGATTTTAATCTTATTTTTCGGTATAAAGGGACGTGCCTAGTGTTTTTGTACTGTTTAAAGTCTAGACTTCCAGAATTGTAATGACTAATGAATACAAGATTCTTATTTAGTTGTGAGAAAAAGTTAACTTCTGTCTATTTAAATTTGTGTAAAGAAAGGATGTAAGAACATTCATTGAAAATCTTTACGATTGTAATTTCAAGAACGGATCGTGTATGTTTAAATTAAAAACCAAAGTGGTGTCGGGAGCTGTTAGTGGACCGGAATGCGGGTAGCGCGGTGTAAGATAAACATTTGATGTTATCAACATTTCATTGAAGGCGCCATCTTAGTCTCACTTATAGATGCGATGACGATCAATTTGCTGCCAGAAAAACTGACGTAACTCAACATAGAGTGGAATAACTCGTAGATAATTTTTCAAGTCTTATACTTTGACTGCATGTAATACTTAAATATACTCCATTTCTCTTCCCGATCCATTTCTATTAAGAAACTAGCAGTGTTTGAATAAATTTAAAACGCTTTAACTTCCTTGGCTTGCATAATTAGCGTACTGTTAGCTATTACTTCCGCGGCTTGTTAACTTATTAAGTTATTGAAGAGTTTCTTTATGCTAAGTTAGATGATGCGTAAACGCATGAATAGGAATTAAGTTTCCCTTTACCAGAAGATTGTACAACAATAGCGATGTAAAAGTTACTTACGTATAGACGGAATATCGTTATGTTGTTGGAAAGAAACACTGTTCTGTTATGAAAATCTAATTAATTTATCAAGGCTTAATCGTCTAGGCTTCATAATATCAGTGGTAGCCAGTTTAGCAAATTGTTGCGTGTAACCTCAGAATGTTTAATGTTGCTGGTGGCAGCCCTATACGACAAGGTTATAAATAAACCCCAAAGACCACGAAGGCTGCACCGCCATTGTGCCCCGTCCCTGGCCATAGTGAGACGTGCGAATACAAACCCACTTTGAACAATTTCAGGGCTGACAAATCTGATCTCTACATCTGTTGAACGATCGGAATTGAAATTTGAATTTGGGATATTTAGAGCACACCTTTGACTAAACTATCGCAGAAATGTTGTGCGATTGTCGATTGTTTCGCAGCCAATCCAACTGTTTAGTTGCACAACTAAAAATCAAGTAGTGTGCGCATACTCTTAATAAAAGTTAGAAGTAAGGTAAGTGATTTTTGGACTAATTTTACTGCTAGCATGTTGTATATGCTTCATAACTTCTCCGCAGTATTTACTTCAGGATGTTACATACATAGATAATGTTATTACTAAGATGTGGCAACCCTAACTAAACGTGCGGTTTAATAATAAACGCATTGGAATGAGAGCTATTGAGTTACGTCGAGGCT